AAAAGCTTCTACAGTGAAACAAGCAAACAGGTGTGTCTATCTTCATTGTTTTTATTTTCACAGACAGTCTGTTGCGTTTCCAAAACCGAGCTCAGGAATCTTCTTCCTCCTCTATCACTTTGTCAAACTGGGAACAAGTCCAGAATGACTGGGAGGACTGGCAGGGGGCCAGTTCTTCATTAGCTTTCTAAACGAGCATTATTGCTGTACAGTGAAGTGAAACCTCTGCTGACGTTTAGCGAACCTCAATGTTGATACAATGCATTAAAACAGCAGCGTGTGGTTTTTCTTTTACCTTGATGATTGATTTTCTTCACCTGTTTCTCTCCATCTGCAGGTCGGGGTGATTGATTTCTCAATGTACCTCAAAGAAGGTGGACACAGTAGTAAGAGCGCAGAAGGGTGAGCGCTGTTTAATGATATTGTCTGATGTTTGTTATAGTCCTGGTTAGCAGCAGTCAGAGGGAATTGCTGGTTTTTCCATCCTCTTTATTTTATGTTTGATTCCTGGGATGTTAGCTGTAATCTTAGTTCCAAACTGGTTCAGCTGATTTACTTTCATCAAATTAAAGGCTCCCTCAGGTGAAAATCTACTTTTTTTTATCTTGTTAGTTCATTTCCTGTTGCTTGAGTATTCAATTAATCAACTAATTATTTCAGCTCTGCCAGTATTAGACAAGAAATGTTAAATAGAGAAAAGATTTCATTCACTGTTCTTCGCCATCACCTTGTTCTGGGTCCTTGTTTGAAATATGAACTTTGTTTCCGTACGAATCCAAAATAAAAACGCTTAGCCACTGCTTTAGTGCTAACTTTGGAAAATTTGCTGCTGGATGTTAAAAAAAAAATTCAAATAATAGAACAAACATGACTCGTCATTCATGCAGTAAGAAATGTTCAACAAGTGATTATTTGAATGACTAAGTACGTGTTTGTGTGTTTTTTCTTCAGCGACGGACAGATCACGGCGATTCTCGACCAGAAGAACTACGTGGAGGAGCTGAACAGACATTTAAGGTTTGTCACGGTGACCAACTCTCTTCTCTGTCTTCACCGTGTTCAGTTCGGTGACTCACATGGTTTCTTTCTGTGTGTGTTCAGTGCGTCAGTAAACAACCTCCAGGCCAAGGTGGACGCTCTGGAAAAGTCCAACACAAAGCTGACAGAGGAGGTGAGTCTCACAGAGCTCAACTTCAAAGAGCGTTTCATTTCCTCACCAGTGTTTTTCTCTAAAACTACGTCAGCCCTCCTGCTTCTCTGCACAGCTGTGGGTATTTCTTTTCTTTTTTTTTGGTCACAGTGATGTTTTGTGTTGTCTTGTGTCTCCTCAGCTCGCAGTGGCAAATAACAGGATCATTACTTTACAAGAAGACGTGGAGCGAGTAAAGGAGGAGAGCTCGTATCAGCTGGAGTCCAGGAAGGTAAACACATCTTCGATTTAGTCCGTGATTATCCTGCACAGTGACTGCTCTCTGAAATAGTTATTTATGCATCATAAAGTCATCCAGAAACACTATTTTACACAGTTACAGATGATAAATGATTATTATTGGGCCTAAAGATGTTCTGTGTCCCAGACTCATTTCTATAACAAGTGAGAGAGTAAAATAATATTTAAATGAAGTTAAATATCTAAACAACACCAAGTTGGTTTCTAAATAAAGCAAACGTTCTTGTTTCTTTCAGGCATTAAGAAGCGACTCTGCAGCAGACGGACAAGCTCTGGGAGAAACACGCAAGCAGCTCAAAGAGGAAACTTTGCTTCGATTGGTGCGTTTCGACTTCATGTATCTCTGCTTTAATGATGAGAAGGAATAATAAGCCTAGCAACACAGTAGATGCCAACAGAGTGCGTACGTTATCAGCCTCCTCTCTCTGTCTGTCGTCACGTTGTGGTTTCAGAAATGAGCAGAGACGCAAGCTGCAAAACCAAGAAATCCACTACTTTGACTGTGACTAACAGCTAGCAGCTAAGTTAGGAGGCAGCCACAGATTAACCTGAAACAGTGTCTGAAAAACAAAAAGAAGTAATGCTTTATGAGATGAGCCTTGGTGGGCAATAAAAGTGATACGACAATGAAATGTTAAGAAAATAGAAAAGAACAACAGACGTAACAGTCTCAATCGATGGATGTCACCGTAAACAGAGCGTCGTAGTGTCAGGTGATGTTCTGACGTCACCACTCCTATTGTTACCGTATATTTTCAGGTATAGTAATCCTTCATAGGGAAGAAGCCCAGTTATGAATGACAAGTTCTCCTCTATTACATGCTGTTAAAATACAACATTTAATGCAAATCTGTTTCAAAAATCGACAAACTGTTAGCGCATATCAGTCAATCCCCACATTTTCTGGTTGAGATTTATACATCCATTATCTATACACCACTTAATCCTCACTGGGGTCGCAGGGGGCTGGAGTCTATCCCAGCTGACTCAGGGTGAAGACAGGGGACACCCTGGACAGGTCACCAGTCTATCACAGGGCTACACTTAGAGACAGACAACCAAGCACACTCACATCTACGGACAATTTAAAATCACCAATTAACCTCAACATGTTTTTGGGCTGTGTGAGAGGAAGCCGGAGAACCCGGAGAGAACCCACACTGCACGGGGAGAACATGCAAACGCAGAGAGATCCCAGGCGTCCTCGCTGGGATGCAAACCTGCGACCTTCTAGCTGCGAGGCAACAGTGTTAACCACAAAGCCACCTTGCAGCCCACATCTACACTGATACATTTTTATTTTAAAATGAAAACAATCTCCTAGGGAAGTGTTGTTGTTCCATTTCAGCAATAATCTATCTGTATCTATAGCATATCACATGACCTTTCATTTTTTTAGAAGTTGTAGAAGAAGAGTTAAAAGTAAGATCAGAGATTTTTTTTTAACTGTACAGCAGCTGCAAGAAACAACGAGGTCAGCAGCACCGGTCACCTAAGTTGTTGTCTGTGATGAATTAATCAGCGGTAGTCAAAGCTGATGTCTTTGTTTTTATCCAGAAAAGGATTTTGTGATAAGAGCGGGATGAATCAGGGAAGGACAGGTCGTGATAGTTACACCAAATCTGAGCAAACGTGAGCATCTGCTTCATTAACTCTCCATTTCTGCAAGTCCAGACTAAAATACAACCATTGACTACAATGGGGTCAAGCAGTATTTCTAGAAATCAGTTGTAAGGCTCATAAAATGCCAGAGTAGTGAGAATCCTAGACACACGAGTTTAAAAAAAAAAGAAAAAAGAAAATGCACAGGCTTGACTTTCCTTCCAGTTACCACTGAGACCAATATTTTTCTGGTATACAAAGTCTGAGCAAACGAGTCGTCTGGCTGTGAAGTGTGACTCTAGAGTTGACCTCTGTGCAGGATGTGGAGAAGGAGCTGGAGGTGCAGATCGGGATGAAGCAGGAGATGGAGCTGTCCATGAAGATGCTGGAGAAGGACGTGTGCGAGAAGCAGGATGCTCTGGTGGAGCTCAGACAGCAGCTGGAAGACCTTCGTGCCATCAACCAACAGCTCAGCCACAAGTCACAGGTACAGATATGGATGCATCACTTCTGTTGGCAGCAGAGGTTCGTTTCTGTGTAAATACTTCAGCACATTGCTCAGTAAAGACTGAAAAGAAAAGGATGTATAAATGGTAAAACTCAAACTTCATGTTTGAAAGGGAACGTTTGCTCATTAAATAAATTCTATGCCAGAATAATGACAGAATTTTTTATCACTTTCTTCAAAGTCAGAAGTTTACATCCACTAAGATGCCTTCAAACTGTTTGAGAAAGCCCAGATGATGATGTCACGACTTTGGAAGCTTTTGGTTTTGGATTGGTTAACTGACAGCATTTGAGTTAATTGGAGGCACACCTGTGGATGTATTTTAAGGCACACCTCAAACACACTGCTTCCTTTTGTGACAACATGGGAACTCTAAAGAAATCAGCCAAGATATCAGGAAGAGAACTGTGGACCTCCACAAGTCTGGTTCATCCTTGGGTACAATGTCCAAATGCCTGAAGGTTCCACGTTCATCTGTTCAAACTATTATACAAAAGTATGAACACCGTGGGAATGTCCGGCCATCATAGCGCTCAGGAAGGAGACGGAGTCTGTGTCCCAGAGATGAAGTGTTCTGGTTGAAATGTGCGAATCAACCCCAGAACAAAAGCTAAAGACCTTGTGAAGATGCTGCTGAAGCTGGTCAGAGAGTCTTTATCCACAGTGGAACCAGTCCTGTACTGACATGGGCTGGAAGGATACTCAGAGAGGAAGAAGGCATTAGTCCAAAAGAAACAGAAAAAAGATAGATTACAGCTGGGCGTTTTGCATAGAGAAATAATTTTGGTAATCCAACTAACAGGAAAAGTTTAGTCTGATTTAATGTCAGATAGTGAGAAGAAAAAAGGTTGTGTGTCTTTTTATACAGTGTATGTAAACTTCTGGTTTCAACTGTATAATCTAAGCACTTATCTAATCAAAAACATGTTTTAATAACCTCAGTCTTCATGCAGTAACTACAGCTGTCAGGGTTTTATCAACTGCTGCTGTTTTGGATTTGACTTTTCAGGGTTAAGTTTTATGTGACTAAAGCAAAACTGCTGGAAAAGCCACACAGTTAATGAGAAGGAGCCGATTACACACAACCTCAAACAACTCCTGTACCTCCTGTGGCCTGAACGACGACGCATGTTTGACATACCGGGAATATCTTTTTGTTATCCGGCGTCACTGAACCGAACAACCGCAGTCAGGCTAAGCAGCCTTATCAGCTCAGTAAGTCAACCCAGAGATGGAGATACGAGCAAGTTTACATAAAAAAGGTGCACAGATTTCTCACCAGAAGAAAAATGTATAATACAAATATGAGGATGTTAAAGATATAATACAGGCTGAAAGTAACAGAATCAAAGAGGAGGCAGGAAGGAAAGCTGGCAAAAGCTGTAATGTGTGAATGTGTACGTTAATCGGCTTATCAGTGCCACTGCCCCAACATTAAGGCACGAATAGATCTATAATCACAGCCGAGTATTGTGTCAAATGTGCGTCCAGCCTGTTGTTATGGTGTTTAAGATCATTTTTGGGTTCAGTTACAATCCTGGCAGAGTTTAATAGTCTGTGGAGTAGGTACAGATCATGTATAATATTATTATTCAAACTGGTAATTAGGTTTTACTGCAAATCCTATAAGGTCAACAAGAACAAGGGTTTAGTGCTTTAATCGGTTTAGGATTATATCGTTAGACAAAAGGATTTAGAAAAATAACACTGCTTTGGAATTGCTGCAACCAACACTGGAGTTCCTGTAGGTTAGAATCTATAACTTTCATGTCTGTTGTCATCAGGGAAAGAAAACAGATGAGATAGTCGCGAAAATCTTCACCTTCCTCAGAAACCTTCTTGCTCTCTGTGCACCAAGTTCCACTGGAAAACTGATGTTTCAGAGCAGGTCAAGTCATCAGCTTAAGTTACCGTGGTGATGGGAACTGCCATCATAGGCCTGAAAACCGGGAGTTAAATTGGACGTTATCGATCTAACCTCAGGTCCTGCTTTGTCCTGCAGGCCTCTGATCCATACCTGCCAGCTGAAATCTTCACTGAGTTTTTGTGTCCAGTTGCTGACTAACCTCGATCGTCTTTCCCGCAGAGTGCAGATGCCAGCTCTAAACAGAAGAGTGAAGCCATCGGGCGCCTGGAGGAGAAAATAAACCAGATGTCAGGGACCGTAAAACAGCTGGAGACCAGGTGAGGACCCTTTAATACAGCATGATGTGTGTTTTCATTAGGGATGTCCCGATTTTGAACTGATCAGTATCGGCAAGAACCTGAACCCGATCCGTAGACATGAATAATTGACCTAATATGTGTAGCAATTTAAATCAATGATTTTTGCTTTTTTAACTTTTTCTTGTTCATGCGCTCGCAAAGCCGCAGACACATCACGGGCCATGAAAGTAGCTGTTCACATACAACTGAGATTCAGGAACAAAGCCCTAGTTGATCCCCTTTTCATATATTATCTGTGTGCTGGCCAGAAGTCATTAAGCCTCACAGAGACTTTGTCATGGTGCCTCTTCACAAGCTTAATACCCACAATGCTCTGGGCTTGAGCCCCTGGTGCCTGCAGCTAATCTACAACAGTTTAAGTTCGTATTGTCTAAGAAAATGGTATCCAATTGGGACTCTATGTAGTCAGGGGATGCTAAATGTTAAATGACTCCGATCGGGAGCCAAAAAACAAAACAAGAACGTGATCGGGACATCCCTTCTTTTGATTTTTACAGCAGAGAAACACTTACCAACACAGACCTCTCACTGTCATGTTATTTTTTTCTCTCTCCACTCTCATTATCATTATTTTTTCATCATTTGTTTATGTACTTTTTTTTTAAAAAACTCTCCTAATCTAGTGACAAACATTTGGTGAAGCAGGCCAGAAACCTGAGCTCAGCAGCAGGGAAGCTGCTGCAGCTGCAGCAGTAGCTCCCCGCTTTCATAAATCTGAATACAACCCTGCCTAATATAGAAATAACCAAACTAGGATGTTATCTTTTCTGTATGAAGCTCCTTTGTTGTTGAAAATAATAATAATAAAAAAAACCATCTTCCCACCACCTCCTGCAGTGGCTCTCCAGCATCAGCTTTTAGTGTGGACTGAGTCGATCCTTCTAGCAGCCCTTAACCTTTGTGTTCTCTGACAGATGTGTTTGCCACATCGGGTTTATACTTTGATTTTCATTTCTTAAAACTGACCCCGTTAATGCTTTTTGTCAAACGTAAGGCGAGTACATGGCATGGTGTCTGACGGACTGATGATTAACGTGCCAACAAACACGTCCTGGATATTTGGGATTTAGCAGATCTGCTGTAAAGTTATTCCAAAGAATTCGGCTCCTACAAGAGACTGAAACATTTACAACCAACAGAGACTGAGAGAATTAAAAAACAATAATAATCTGATGTGTAGGGACCGATATCCAAGAGGTTTGTTGTGATTTGGTGACATTCCAGTGTCAAAGGCCAGCACAGGAGCAAGAAAAAGTCAGAAGAAAAGGGCAAAATTATTGAATTAATTTTGAACTGTACGTGAACATAACATTGGTGTAAACTGTAGTAATCATTAGGCTAATAAAACAATAAACCAACACAGCCGGCTTCATCTTCTTTGGCTAAAGTCTCCCCTCGTTCTTGTTGAGTTTCAGTCTGAAGACTTTCTGTTTCATCGTGTGTGTGTTTTTAATTTTAGCTTTAGATGACATCTCTTCCCATTCATGTTCATTAAGTTTTCATTTTGCCATAAGTTTTATGTTAACCCGCTCACCCCAAACCAGATGCAAACAGGCTGACAAGGAGAGAGATCTGGCTTTAGAGGCCAACCGGCTCTTCAAGCAGGACTTTGGGGACAAGATCGAGAGTCTGCAGGAGGAGGTGGAGCAGCTCAGGAAACACAGGTAAGGTCAGAGGATAGCACAACAGGTTGGTATCATGTACTGTATAGTTTTGTTAGGGTTGGTAATATTATGAGTGCATTTTATTCTGATGTGTCATTGAGCTTCTTTATTGTCCAAACCTGTTAAAAACACATCAGTGAGTTTAGTTTGTTTACTTAGTATCCCCTCATACGTCATCCTGCTGCTTGTCACGAGTTAAATGTTTTAGGAAATTATTCATTTTGCAGTTAAACTGTACAGTTTATTCGTGCACTTGTAGCTGAGTGCAGAGACAGAACAGGAAGATCAGAGCATTAAAAGTTGCACCATTTTTTTTGGATACAAGTATGTTTCAACCACAAGCAGTTTCTGTGTGTTTTGTGCTTCTGTCACATTTTCATTCACTGTCCTGCACCTTTATGGAGACAGCACAACCATGACTAGAAGTAGAGAGAACTCAGAAATGTCATTTGTTCAGAAGGACAAAGTTATAAAAACAAAAATCATAAAAATGGGGGGGAAAAAAAATTAATTAATTTCTTTGATTGTTTTGTCTACAAATTTTTTTAAAAACTGAAAACAAATTGTACGCTTTTTTTCACCGCAGATGTTACCAATATTGGAGAAAAAAATGGCAGCTCTACAACTAAAGATATTTAACTGTTTACATTTTACTGCCTCTGCAAACTTGGTGTTTTACACACAACTCTGCACATCAACTCAAGAAAAGTATTTTGCATCTTCATTTTGTATCTTCCTACAACTTGCTCCTCTGTATACTGTTTTTGAGTCATGCTGCGTTGATTTTATTGATAAAATATGCTTTATTTAGCTCTACCTTTTTGCTGTTCTGTATAAACACAGCCTGCAATTGAGCCAAATTTTTCCTGATTTTTTTTTAAGTTGCTGTGTCACAACTGAGCCAACCGTGGCTTTGCGTTTCACAAGAGTTCTTTTTTTTAACAGTATCTGGTGCAAATGGTTTAAAAAAAAAAGTTGGGTTTTTTTTGCAATTTATTAAATGAGATATGTAGAATTTTTTTAGAAAGGGATTTTAATGAAATATCCTGATTTTAATTAGATGAGATTTGGTTAATGTTCCTGATTAAAAAGCATGTTACACATGATTAGGTGAACATCTGAACATTCTTTCTGTTTTTACAGTGCCTTGAGTGGATAAATGGGCTGAATTTGGAACGTTTGTCAAAGAGGATGTCAATTAATATTGAAGGAGTGACGATAGACTGAACTTCTTGTCACATATCAGTCCCAACCAGCCAGTACATTTTACGTAAACCAAAACAACAGAACTGTTTGTCTGGTCCTTCCTATCCATAAAAATGTTCATATTTGGAAATTACTAAATTGAGCTTGTTGTAAAAGGACAGTTTTTCGTCTCCTTTTTAAAAGCAGCAAATTAGAAATATATATATTTTTTTAACTTTTGATGTGGCTGCTTTTTAATTTGATAGGCAACCTGAAGTCATTTGAGAATTTTGGTGCTTTTATTTTTTTAAACAAAACACTGAGCTACAAATCTGCGTTCTCTCCTTTCGTCTTTGGTTCATGTTGTTGTTTCAGGTCTAACCTGGAGCAGGAGCTGAGAAAAGAGCGCGAGCGAAGGACCGAGCATCACCTCGGTGCTGCACCCAGACAGTCCAGTGCTGCTCGGAGGGAGAAGAGACACCCAGAGAACATACCAAAGGTAAGTCTGTGCTCACGTTTGTTCTAAAACAAGAGAAGTCCAGGTACAGCTGGATCTATTCATGTGCCTGTTTTTACCCGCAGCATCTCCCAGAACCCTTGGCAGTGAAAAGAGAGAATGACCAGTTACAGAGTGGACAAGAGGACAAAACCAGTCTGAGCTCCAGCTTGTAAGTTTACAGGCTGCAGTTTTATAGAATTTGCTTTCATAATGTTAAAGTATTGACTTTTGAATGTCTCATTTTAAGGTCTCTGTCACATCATGAGGACGAACAGGTGAGGTTTTACCTTTTGTGTCTTTTCTGACTTAATTGAAATGCTTCAAGTAGTAGAAGCCGAAACAGTCGACGAGTGCATTTACACACAAATATCCAGAGATTTATCAGATCAGTGCCAGATTGCTGTTTGGTTTCTCTGCAGGACGAGTCGTTCTTGGAGATCAGTGTGCCTTCAATGTGTACGATGTGCGAACAGGACGACTCCCTCCTCAAGACAAAGGTACACGTTGTGGATTAATAAATAAATTCTTTTCCAGTTTCTCACCAACATTGAGGCTGTTTAAATAGTGAGGAGGAGGAAACATCGTACGGTTGGTCAAAGAGTGATAAAAGTGGCTGAAAACATCCCAACAGCAATCAGTCACAACGTTTCTTTATGGAGTTGAAGTTCAAATCATATTTTTATTTTTGCCTATTCAGCTCATATAAATCAAATTATTCAGACACACTGGCAGCGTGTTTGTAGTTTACAGCTGGAGGAGGAGAAGTGAGCATCACAGGTACTATATTTCTCAATAACAGGACAAAATCGGGTACAGTTTGGAGAAAGAAAAGGTCAAGCAGTCGTTATTAGAAGGTACCTGAGATGATTTACAAGGTAACAGCTGAAGAAATCAAACATTCATTAAATCAGAGGCTCTTTTCCGTCAGATGATGGAAAACATTCCAGCCTCCACCGAAACACTGATGTCGTTTTTAGCACTAACTACCAACACCAGTGGAAACGAATCACTTCAGAGAGCGATGACCTCTGCCAAGGTCAACCGTCCACACTGGTGTGATTTGAGGTTTCACAACCAGATCTGGAAAAATCCTCGGAGCCCTAAGATCTGTAGGATGTTCTCATTTAAACAGGCCAGTAGTGTCCAAATGTGTTCAGTTTAAAGCCACATGTATGCAGGTTTTTGACATTTATCTCCCTTTATTCGGTTCACAGTGTGTTTATTTGTAATGTTTACATGAAAAAAACAAGAAAAGGGCTTCTGGCTGAATCATGATTTATGCTCATGATTGAAAACTGGCTCTCCACTCAGTGTCCATGAAGTGGTTTATTGATGCAAACGGCAGTATTTTAGTATCAGTTTTCAAAATCAAAAGAGAAACTGGATTTATTTTCAGTATTTTGAGCCTCAGCTTTACAGATGTGTATGTAGTGAATCATGATTTTACTCAGATGATTTGAATTCTCACACTTTTGTGCACAAAGTTGCATCATTTTTAGGGGAATAAATCACTTGTGCTGTCAGTGTTTCGAGGCAGACTGGATGTAAATAGCATCAAATTTTCTTAGAATTGAATAGAATATCCTTTACTAGTCCCACAAGGGGAAATTTGTAACGTCACAGCAGCAAAGTGACGGTAAGAAAAGCAAGAAAACACAACTATGAATTAAAGAGGCGAGCTATATATACATTACATATACAAAATAAGTAAGAAGAACACAAATGTAAGAATGTTTACATGACGGGTTAATGGGTTCCTGTCTGTGCCCTACCTCTCCACCGAGGTTCATGAACATCTGTAATCTTGCTGACAAACACAAACAAACAGTGATGAAAACACAACCTTCTTAATGGAGGTAATTCATCATATTCACGCAGCTTCAGCTCCACTCATCATTCTTCTCCGTGGTTCTCAGCACCACCTGGAAGTGGCTCTACAGTTAAAGAACCACCACGTTAAAACAGAGTTCTGGTCTGTTTCAGCCTTTCAAAGTACTTAAATCATCAAGCAAATATCTTTTATAAATTTCTATATTAAAATATCAAGACAAACAAAACTAGATGAGCAGAAATTGTCCCAAAGATGTGATGATTTCCTCTTAAATCAGCAGCAGAGACACATTTTGCTCGAGTATTTCCTTCATGTGTCAGCTGACAGACATCCTCCATTCGAGCCTTTTTTTTCACAGCTGTATTTCTTGTGTCTCCAGAAACAGTGTAAGAACTGCAGTGGGGTTTTCTGTGAGAGTTGTGTGTCCAACGAGCTGCCGCTGCCTTCCTCCATCCTCCCAGAGACGGTTTGCAGCTCCTGCTACTCACAGTTACTCCAACAATACGCTTCAACGCCGACATGATCGGACACACGGAAACTGGAGGCATCCATCTGTAGAACTGACGCTGCAGAAAGAAAAGCACTTTTTTTTTTTCCACTTCACGGCCTGAAATGTCATGACAGATCTTTTCAAGTCTTGAGCTTTGCGGGTTATTTTAATTACTTTAAGTCAGCAGTGTCCAAATGTGAGCCGTTAAAAGCCACGTGTATGCAGCTTTTTATTACAATTAAACACCGCAAACGCCATTGATCTCCTGTTTCTGGCTCACAGTGTGATTATTGGTGATTGTTAAGTGAAAATCTGCACTCGCGTATGCGAAAAAGGCACCTGGCTGGAAATTAATAGACAACTTGAATCATCTCATTCATAGTAACATTTAAAAACTGACTTCCCACAGTGTCCACTAAGTGGATAATTGATGCAAAGTTCAATATTTTAACCTCACTTTTTAAAGATGAAGAGAGAAAAAAAAAAACTGGATTTATTTACAGTATTTTGAGGCTCATCTGTGCTCCTTTGCAGATCTGGACATGTAGTGATTCATGATTTTACTCATGATGCATGAACTTTAACAATTTGTGCACAAAGTGGCATCAGATTCAGGGAAATACTGACGAAATTCAATACGATTTTGATGTCAGTATTTTTGGGAAAGACTAAAGATGAAAAGAAAATAGCTTTTGCAGTTTATTTTAAAAATGTTTCTCTCTCTCAGCCTATTGAGTTCGGAAAATTGTAAAGTTGTAGTGCAGAATTTAAGAGAAATATTTAAGTTATATCACAATGGACGATAACCAAAATCCTAAACTGGATTAAATATATATATATATGTGCTTATATATCTAGTCTCTTATTGCAATATTGATATCAATATTTGATGAACATATCATCCAGCTGTGTGAATGTAGAATTGTTAAAGAAAAAACTAGCTATTGTGCTTAAATATCAAAGTGAGTTAGCTTAGCTTAGCATAAAGACTGGAAACGGGTGGAAACTGTTAGCGTAGGTCTGCCTGCATGTAACAAAATCCACCTCGAAGGCTTAAATAACTCACAATTCATACCGAAACCACAATGCAATTTAAGTGCCAAAGTAATGTGAGGGGTGGAAACTCCACAAAGCTACTGTTACACAACTCCTAAATAACAAGCTGTTGTTACGCAAATGAGCCACAGAATATTGTGTTAATTAGTGCACTTTAAATGAGCCGGTGGGTGGATTTTTGCTGTTCCCTTCTGTTTGCACTTCCTATGCTAAGCTAAGCTAATTATCTGTACCAGCATGACATTCTACAGACTATCAGGCTGTTCTTTTATGTTTACAAAACTGAATATTCTGGGTATTTTTTTTTTCTACTTGTTGTGTATTTGTTAGAAGTGGCATTAACAAAAGGCTAATCATCACAAAGTCATCTCCAGCTAATATCAAGTCACATGAGAGTCTGGTTTGTTTTCCATCATGAAATCCAACATGCAGACGTTTAGGTGAAGTTGTCTCAGCACATGGCAGCACTTCTGAATGCATGGCTCTCTGCCCGGCTGGTTTGAAGTGCTTCTTTATACTTTACTGTTTTGTTGATTGACTAAAACTAGACCTGAACCTCACTTCTTGTCGACGCTAATTAACATGTGAGATGGAACTGCTTCTTAGATCAACAATAAACTTTTATCAAATCGAACCAGTGTCCGACTCTGGATTATTTCAGTTTGTCAGGAGCACGAAGAGCTTTAATTTCACATCATCTTTAGCTCTTTTAGAACATTTCTTTTTGTAAGAAATGTCAAAGATGTAATGTTGAATAACACAAAACTTCTAGTAAGGATTCTCGTTATACTTGATTTTTTATTTTAAAAAACAGCAGAGCAGAAGGTGAAGTCTTCCATTATATCGTTTTGTTTGATCTAAACCCCAAAACCCAACTAATCCATTTGTAGTTGCATGTACATAAAACACTGATTTCAAGTCCTGAATTTTGCTTTTTTTTTTTTTTAAATTTGTATGACACAAAAAAAAATCAATCTTCTGCTTGGAACAGCCAAATGGAAACATCCAGATTTCACCTCATTCATTTATAGAGGGGCCTGGTCCTATTTATTTAAAACAGCCGCTGAGTGACGAGACTTGCCTTAAGAAACTTTGACACAACATCAAACAAGACGATCACCAGCAGAGGGAGAACGTCCCAGAACCTGAATCAACTGTTTCACCCCAGAATATAAACAGGATGTTCCGAATGTTGACAGACGGTTGAATACAAAAGAGACATTTGGATTAAGCACAAATATATCCACAAACTAAATGACAAAATACCCCTTGATCACATAAAAATAATGTTTTATATGCGTATTTTGTATGGTTAGGTAAATCTGTAACTTTATTTGAAATCAGAAATCTGAGCTGAAGCAACTTAATTCTAAATTCTACTAAATAAAGACAAATGAGTTGGTTTTATTGACACCAGGAATGTTTATTGTTCGATATCCACATCTGGACGGAAAATAAATATGATAATCCCGTATGTGTGTTTGGCGTCTGTGTGTCGGCGTTCACCTGCAGGAGAGAAAACAGCTGTTCAGTCACATCTGGAGGAAGGTAAAATGTGCATGAGCATGATTTAGAAAAACATCTTTATACGAAAAAAAAGCTGCACTGATCCAGATTGTTAACAAAACATGATTACGAACATGTCTCTAAGAGATACTGCTTCCTGTCTTCTTAAAAGTGTGAATTAATTAACCTCAAAGTAGTTTGGAAAACATTTACAGACGTGCAATTCTGAGAGTTTTTTTTCTGTCAACAACTTACGGTGTTTTTTAATGTCCATCAGAGTTTGGTACAGAGTTCAGGAACAACTCGATGTATCTTCTCCCTGAAAATCAGAGAAGAACCAAATGTGCAGGGAAATTTTGATCAATGAACGGTCAAGATTATTATTTCATTATGTCATAATAAACCAGAAAGATGGGATTTATGGAACTTGAAGTAACTGCTCTGTTAAACCTCAACTCTTGGGCAAAAAGGAAAAAGGTTCTGGTCGTTTGTTTTTCTTTATCAAACTGTTGTAGTGCCAGTTAAATTAATCAAAGTCTGTACGTGCATTTGTCATTGAACTACCTGCAAAAACCAACAAAAGAATATCAGTACCTCTGACCTTTCAGGACAGGAGCACTGACGACATTTTTAAACTGGATATTCTCGTTTACGGCATAAAATACACAGGTTAAATATCTGAGGAGCAGTTTTGTACTCAAACTCCTAATCTGACCTGTTTACTAAAAAATGAGGATGATAGCATCAGATAACAGCTATGCAACAGAAGGAAGCTGAATTCCAAAACAGTTTAGTTTGAGAATATGTTCTGCACTAATTTGCTATGAATTATGGGTAACTTAAGACTTTGTATTGTACTGCATTATGCTGCCTGGTGTCTCTATTTTGTCCATCTCATTTAAATCAGTGTTCAGAGGCTAAAGGACATTATCACTTCTCTGTATCATGAAGTTCAAAAGCACCAAAAACCTGCAGCCTCTAGACTGAGCACACGGGTGAATAATGAACACTGCTGAGATAGTTAAGACAATAACTGAACATTAGAACCTTCACCAAAGGAGGATAGATTGCAGAAAAGCTGAGTGTGTTGGTACATAAAATATATGACCGTGGAGTTTAGTCAGGGTTAGTCACTTACTTTAATTAAGTTTTGCCAGATTTTTCTGTCTGATCTAAAAGCCAACTTCAGATTGATGTAAAATATCAGCGTTAAAACGGCCTCTATGTGAAAAACTCTCCAACGTTCTCACCAACGTTCATCTTGTCTTTGGACATGGCAGTCAAGGCGTCTGAGTGGCAGCGGAAGAAAACATCGGCCTCTCCACTCGGCCTCCCAGTAGGACCACATTCAATCAGGATCTTAGACACGGCTAGAGGATAGAAGAACTGCAAGAGGAAAAACAAACACATAATAATCAAATCGGCTCTTGACAGCAGAATCAGCTTCAGCATCTTATGACGTTCTGCTTTTTTACCTTCACAATGTCTTCTCCAGAAACCGGGAAAGGAAGTCCTCTCATGTGGATGTAATGCAGCGGCACGGTGGAGCTGTGGGGGGCAGCTGGGGGAGAAAATATGTCACCAGGTTGAACAACCTATTAAAAATGTTAAGCGTTGTAGACATGTTTCAATAGCATCCAATGACTTCTCTAGAAGGCCAGAAAAAGCAGATTGTTTAGGTATTTAGTGCAGTTTTATTTAAATTAGGTTGTGTGTTTGAGTACTGAAGATGCAAATACTGTGCTTTGCATCTTAAGCACAGCATGAAACAACCTAAAATGGCAGCAATTTAACATGTCATAATAGTAAATATAGGGTTAAAGTAATACAGGCTGTGTGGTGCTTGTAGGCGCACTATTAGCACGAGTAGTCGGAGGCTTGTGGTGAGATCGCGTCCATAAGCTTAATATAATAAACTGTTTTTTTCACTATTAGACCTGCTGGCTACCATTTTACTCGTGTCATTGGACAGGTCCCTTGTTGTAGTAATGAAACTACTGTAAATATTTAGGCAGCAAAAATACAAATTGCAAGAATCTACTTGATATGCTGGAAATTGATTTTTTTTTTTTTTTTTTTAAGTTTAAATGAGCAATTGGTAATGGTAAGACAGATGGAAAAAAGTTAAACGTTTGTTTAAGCTACAAATAATAATTTAAATATTAGCTTTTTTCCAAAACACACACCATGTTAAATATACATAAAGACTATATAATGAGTCGTAGCCCTGTGATAAACTGGTGACCTGTCCAGATGTATCCCCTGCCTTCACCCTAAGTCAGCTGGGATAGACTCCAGCCCCCAGCGACCCTAGTGAGGATTAAGCGGTGTATAGATAATGGATGGATGGATATATAATGAGTCCCCTCACCAGCCCTGGTGATGTTCTGTGGCCTCCAGTCTGCTGGCTCAGGGTTGGTCTGCACAGGAGCTGAACCCATCCTCCTCCTCAAAGTAGATTCAATATCTTCACTACTGCTGGGAAACACTTCGATATATCTGCAAATATTACAGCGCAAGAACAATCAATGTGATCACAAAGAAGATTCTGTTTACATTTGGCCATGACATTTGCTATTGCTATTTGTTTCAAATAATTACAAGAAAAAAAAACGTGTGTGGATTGTGTAAATCTGCAGCGTCCCACCTGCTCCCTATCAGGTCTCTGTCTCTCTGCAGAGCTTCGTTAGCTGCTTCCTGAGAGGTAAATTTCACAAAGCCCTCCCCGGTCCTTCTTCCTTTACGATTTGCGACGATGGTGATTCCATTCTCCACGATATCCAAACCTACAAAACGCAGGAAGTAAGTAGTCTGTGATCTTTATAGTGGCCAAAGATAACATTGGTAAAAATAATAATAAGACGTAGACTGACACCATCTAAAGCATGCGCTGAAAACTGTTTTCCTGACCAACAATCTACCAGCACCTGTGTCTGTTTACCTGAAAAGAACGCAACAATTTCGTCCTCGGTGCAGTCGAAGGGAAGTCCTCTGAGCTTCACCACCCCGTCTGCTGGAGGATGGGCGGATTTCGTCAGGATGGCTTCAGCATCCGTGTTCGTCACTTCAAACACTAAAAGCAGGACATAAGATTTTCATGATTTAAATAGACAGGACTGCTCAATAACTATTTCAATAACTGTACTTGATTAAGACACAGCATAAAACTCCGTTGTCGTTTTCAGTGAGCTTGTATTCACTTCAGTGGCGTGTTTCCAGAGTGAAATGCAGCATCTGTACAGCACTAATTTGGAAAGTCCTGGCTACAAACAGGCAAAGATGCAACTCTGGGCTTCAAACCAGTTTAGCCAACCAACAGGTGGTGTCACACCTCACTGCATTATACAGCCTGTGGTCTGTATCTGTTGATCTTTGAGGGACAGTATCAGATGTAAGTCTACACTACATGCTGAAGTGAGTTTTCCAAATAATGCATAATAAACAAGCTGGATTTGTAAAGTGACTCAGGAGATTCCAAAAGCTGCCTGTAAAACCAGCCCACACATCTGAATTCACATAAACAACCTCCAGTCCTTCTGGCTACTGCTTGGGAAACTACAGATGTTGCTATGAACATTATTAATGGCTCCGTTCTTTTTAAATGTCCGCTAAACCACAACAGTGGGGCAATAAACCTCCATGCATAATACCAGGACCCTGACACTGATGCACCTAAATGAAATCACAATCAGTTACAAAGCTTACTAGTTGCACATGTGCTTGTCCTGCTGTGATGTGTCACACTGTCCTCAGTGCATGAATGTTTTTTGTGTGGAAGCCAGAGAGACGAACCTTCAACATATCGTGGACCGAGGTACTGCCGATGCTTCTCCAGAGCTTTCCTGACGTCCTCCTCGTGCTCCAGCTCGATGAAGGCTCGTCCCGACGGCCTCCCCAGCTGGTCCACAGCCAGGTGGATGCCGTTCTCTCCATCATGGACCCTACAATCTGAAACACAGTCATGTTTCTATAAGTGACAACATTCTCTTCATTCATTTTTTTTTTTTTTTTTTAAATTGAGTAAAAATTCTGTCCATGTGTGATGGTAATCTAACTACAATTTTATTAACAATAAAATAAAAATATCCCGACAGCTGTGATGGAGCTCAGGATGACCACTATGTAAGAAAAAATGTAACTGCAGCTGATAAACTGTGACAGCTCACCTGTCTGAGGGGAAGAAAGTACACAATGTGTATTGCTGTTAGGTCCTGATCTATCCAGTCTTTATGTGAGGGCATAATTTATAATCATATGCAATTACTGAAGTAATTACTGTTGTCATACATGCGTAAATGGGCAAAACTCTCTTTCTCTTTCTTTTGAGAAGCTCATATGTTAAAGTCACATTGGACAGTAATAAATAAAAGGTGTTTCGCTCTCCAGACTCTCACCTGAGAAGAAGTGAAGAAGGTCATGAGTGGTGCATGTCCATGGGAGACCCTTCACCTGGATGATGTAAATGTCCTTTGTCCTTGTCGGTTTTGATTCTGACTGGTAGTCTGGCAGCGGTGGGTATTCCTCCTCCGAAGGTTCTCCTGCCTGGAAGACAAGGTGTTTATCAGGGCTGAATGATTCTGGGAAAAGATCTAATGGCGACTTTTGTGACAGACATTGCTGTTTGATTTGTTATATACATATATTTTAAATCAGTCTTCATTTCAGAATCTACTATGTAATAGATTTAAAACTTGAGCCATGAGCACTATGGTTTAAATCCATGCTACACAATGTGCATCCTAAATTGCAGCCTTTACTAATTGCAGTTTTCAATTCACAACTTTGATTTGAAATCGATAAACTGTTCAGCTCGACGTCTGATACAATGGTTTAGCCACAGACCTGCTGAAGCTGCAGCACGTTAAGAAAATGACCTGCTTGGACATACATTTGATTAGAATTTCTGAAAGTACTTTTCTTTTCTGTCTGCTCTTTGTTTGACAGTTGTAGGCACCAGTTACAACAGTTTACATATTAAAACATGTAAAAATAATACTTTCTCAGTGCACGTGTTATTGAAATGAGCAATATTGCAACTAAAAAAAATGGAATATTGCACATTGCAGTGACATGTTGTACATTTCAATTTTATGTGCAACATGTAATGTGAAATATTTGATATAGTCGGTTGCAATATTGCAATTTCACAGGCAGTATTTCATTATCACGTGTAATACTGCTTTACTACTTCATTCTAACTGCCAGTATTACCTATTACCTTTCTATTCTAGTCTTATTTTAGCTTATTTTTACTTTTCAGTAAACCTACATCTTGTTGCTTCTCTACTACTCTATTGTTGTGTACTTATATCAGGCAGAAAATTTCTTTTGGGACAAATAAAGTTAAGATAAACTAAAACTTTAGCAATCCAGAGGTAAATTATGTAAATATTGTTTAGAAAAATATACGACACCAACTGCTAATAGAATAGCAGCAATATATACGTGTGATAAGTTGCTAAAAATAAGAGCAAGTCCAATAAAACTAGAATAGAAATGTAAGAAGTAATACTGGCGATGGTACTGAAGTAGTGAAGTAATACTAGTAAACAGTGGTGAACTAGTAAAACGGGACTCCAGAGGTAGAGTACCTTAAAAATAAACTACTTCGACAGTACCTCATAATACTGAAACTGTACTCAAACACAGTACTTGTTAGGGATTATACTACTATCAAAAATGGATACTAGTACAATAAACTAAAGTAGATGCTCAGTAAAGTGTTCTAGAAACATCGTAGGAGTACTTTTAAGCGACCTTCTGGGTTTCTCTATGACTCGACTCATGCTAACCCGGACCGGGCTATTCGGGGCTAACCTTGGTACAGAAGCGGGCCTGGCTGCTCCTCCCTGCAGCCTGCAGCTCACCGAATCTCCGCAGCCAGACTGTGCGGGTCGCTGAGGTCCAGGTCCGGTTCTGAGTGAACCCGCAGCTCTGTGCTGTTTTGACGATGGCCGCCGGTAACGTTCTCTGGCTAACTGCGACACACCGCTGCAGCAGGAACAGCACAGACCTCCCGGTACCGGACATTCTACCCGTCAATCTGGTTAGTTATCAGTGTGTTGTACTAAAAGGTCTCCGGTCAGTCTGAGGCTCTCTGACTCTCTGAATGCAGCCGGTTCGTTTACCGAAGCTCCGCTTTACCGTCCCAGTGAGCAGCTAGGTGTTCACGTGCGTCGGTGACATTCAAGGACAGCGCACGAGCGTTTCAATGGTGAAGCTGGCAGCCAGCACACGTCCGGTTTGAGATTTCACAATAAGAGTCGAGACTTTAAATAATCTAGAAAAACAAAGTTTGGATGATAAATTATTTTATTTTATTTTTTAAAGAGTCATTTGAAAGTAAATTAGTAAGCTAAAAACTAAGCAATTAATCTTTATAGTGACTTTATTGTTCTTTATTTACAAAACTGTAAAACTACAAGTAATAATTATGTGTATAGCACCTTTCTAAAACAAAATACAATTATACAATTATACAACAAATTAGAATAATATAGAATAGTAGTATAGTATAGAAACATTGCTATAAGTCAGAAAGAAAGAAATAGCATCCAAAACATGCAATATAAACAAGATTATATAGTTAGAACAAATACAGTCAGTTATGAAAAAGACTAAAATATTAACTTTATTTATATAGCACCTTTAAAACCTTTAGCAACTTTAACAGTTATCATAAACAATTTTTTATTTTTTTTAGGATCTAGATCTGCGCTTACTCTGGGAGTAAAAGTATTCAACTGGTCGGGTACTAGCTAGTCTTAGTCAGCTATTACGACTAATAGAAAAGCAACTGGACATCTCTTTTTGGTTCTGCAGTCCTGTTGCTTTTTGGCTTTGGTCGTCCCAAGGGCTTTAGTAAAAACCTTGTTTTGGATGGGAGGTTAAACGTCTTAAAGAACCATAAAAACAGAGCTTTTTAACAAAGCGTTAAATATTATCACAACCTGAATGACTGAGAATCTGCAGAGACAATGAATAGTTTTTCTTGCTCTAATCTTCAGTGTTTAACACGTGTTTGTCATCTAACATCTAAAATTGCACCACATTACTTTTACTAATAATTCTCAACAGACCTGAGTCAATAATTTTCCAAATTTTTTAAACACATCTTGGGGTCCTTCTTTAGTCGATAGAGCACTAGATGGAGCTATTCAGTTGTCAGGTGGATGGTCTGAGGTTGTGTTTTCACCACGTGATTTTAAACGACATAAAGACAAAGTTCTTTTAGAAAGCTTTCAACTACACATGAGGGCCTTCATCAGCAGATCGATACAAACAAAATTCATTTTTAAAAAATCATTAAAAAGTATTAATTAAATAAAATTGTTCAAATGAAGTTGCTCCTTCTCTATTGCTAATTTTCCTTTATTTTTTAAGTCTTTTTTTTTTAGTTTAAAGGATTTATGTGTGAAGTTCTATACAAATAAAGTTAAGTTCAAGTGAGCTGGTATAATAATCTAAAACAAAGAAACAGGGGAAGAAAACATCCACTTTCATGCCAAAAACCTCACATTTCTAGACAGTTATATGGATTTTTAAACTGTAGATCAAACATCCCAATAAAATGCACTTCTTTATAGAGCAGTTTCAATTTCTCTGAGGCTTAAATTTATTAAATTTAAATTAGGAGGCTATAAAGGAAGTAGTATTTCTATGAACTAGTGCACACTTGACAAAGTTTGACAACTTTACGCCAAGTCCTTCCTCTGTCTCCGGTTCACACTGCCATCTAGAGGTCTGGATGTACTCAAAATTCTCATAATACCCTCTGAGTCATTGCAGTCTAGTGATTTTCATCCCTGCAGCTCCTGCAGACAAACAGAAGGAAGCTGGTGGAAAACTTTGTCATTTAATGTTGTTTCCCACCATGTGTGCTGTTTCACCAAATTGCCCCTGAGACAAAAACAAATTGGCTTTTAACCACAGCAGGAAACTGGTTTAAAGAGATGGAATTTTAACAGTTTCTTGGGGGAAATACGGCGACGACAGCAGGACAGAACCTGATGTTTTACACAGTAATGCAACATTTGCAGTCTTATTACTTGCAGCACTCCTGCTGTGGGGATATAATCGGGTTCGTCAAACTGAAATTGTTACATTTAGCGTAACATACGTCAAAGCAAACCTTGGTTTAATGCAAATAAGATATTAGACTTATTACAAGGATGATGAATCCTCTTCACTTGGGTTGGGGCTGCAACTAATAATCTAGTACTGTGCCGGCTGTTGTGTCAATTCTTGTTCGAAAATTGGGGGAAATTTTTTATCATCATAATCTCCCGGGGCCCAAGAGGAGACACTCAAATGTTTTGTTTTGTCCAACCAAGATATTTACTGTACAGCTGCTTAGGAAAGCAGCAGGAATTCATCTGCCATCACATTCCTTAAATTCCTGATGATTACTTTGAATTTCTAGTGTTGCTGAGTGCTTTCTGCCCCTTTCACAACTTGTCTTAACTTTGGGTAACTGCTACAGATCACAGTTTCTCCCACGCCGGCCTTCTGTGACCTCCTCAGTGTTTCTGGGAGGATTTGAACTTCCACAATTATAGACAAATGGCACAAGGGGTTATTTGGGGTATTAAAACCCTTTATCACACAGTTTTTAACTTTTGGTTTCCCCTGAAGTTGATCTTAAGTCCTGCAGAGCTTTTTTTATTAATATGCTTTATTGTGTTCATTATCCTTCTTGTTTCTTTCACCTCCTTCTACAAATGTTTCCTCTTCTCCTCTGCCTCTTTTTCATTTTCCTTCCTCTTCATCCTTAATTTCTCCTTCTGCTCTTTCTTTTGCCTTCCGTATGATCCTCACGATGTCCTCTGTGACTTTCCTCCTCTGGGATTGGAGCAACTGAAGGTGAAGTCCTGAGATCAGTCCATCATGTTCAGTGTTGGACGGACTTTACGTTAAGCTGACAGCAACTGAACGTGTCGGCTTCATGTTTGAATGAGCACCCTGCCAACTCTTCTGTAGTTTGTCGCTTCCACCTGTTTAGAATTATTTCCTCTGAGCTTATTAAATACCTGCAGCTTCAGACAGCAGCAAGATCCACAAGCGTCTCCAAAGAGAGAAAGTTGTGCACATTTACAGACAAAGCAACAGCAATATCATCATCATTAATTATTTACTATAATTATTACTTATTATTATGTACACAATGAAAAAATAACCCTTAACTGGGAGACAGGATCAATCAGGATGTAACATTAAGTCACATTCAGTTTGTCAGCTGCAGTTAAGGGTTTTTTGACATTGCGGCCCTCCCCAGGTTGAGACCTGCACAGCTGCACTGTTTAGGAAATCAAAAAACCATTGGGCTGTTAGTTTTTTAGACACTTTTGTTATATATAAACAAATAAAACATTTGTACCACAGCTCTCTCTGGCACTGTGGTGGTTCGTCTGAATGAACACATGAAACACATGAATGGAAAAGTTACCTATGCCTGAATTATTTAATTGTGTGACTTAAAGCACCAATTAGCGACATGTGTTGAGTTAGGCTAGTCACTTTAAAGGGGGCTGAATACTTATAAACTCATTTATTTTGCATTTAATATTCAGAATTAGTCAACATTGCTTTCTAGAACAGTATCTTCAAATTGACATTAAAGAGTCTTTATTGGTAAATTGTTGTTAAAAAAATACTAAATTGACCATGATTGCATTTTGAAAAGCAGTGTTTTTATTATTATTGCTTTTTAGAGGCTTAAAACACCAATTGGCTAAATATGTGTTAAGTTAGGCGAGTCACCTTAAAAGGCAGTGCATACTTACGAAATCCGGTATTATGCATTTTATATTTTTAATTAATTGACATTACTTTGTAGAAATCTGATGTCACTTTGACATTGAAGAGTCTTTATTGGTTAATTCTTGTAAAAAAAAATAAAATTAAAAAAAAGCCAAATTAAATTGAGCATGGTTGAATTTATTTTGAAAAGCATTATTATTATTATTTTTTACCGGCACTACATTTACGTATCTATGTGTACATGCATGTATCTAATTTTGCAATTTGTGTTTGTATTTGTCGGCCAAATTCTAAAATAGTACTTAAAATTTTCTTCCACGTAACTAAGCATCCACAGGAAAAAAAGAAGAAAAAAGAAAAAAGGAAAAGAAAAAAGGAAAACACAGCGTCACATGACCGCCTCCGTTATTTCCTGCAGCAGCAGCCTGTCCGCGGCTCTGCCTGCCTGCGACAGCACAGCAGCGGTGTGGTCGCTCCGAGCGCACGGTAACGGACAGAAGAACCACTCGGCACGTACCGAAGGCCTCCGAACCGCCCCGAACCCCGTTATAGCCACCGCTCCGACGGATATAAACACACACTTAGATATTTTTTCTAATCTTAGTCGCTGTTTTTCTTTTTAAATTTGATATCATTGTTTAAAAAAAAAGAAAAAAGAAAAAAAAAAGGAAAAAAAAAAAAGTCCTCGTAATGGCGACAGCTGCGGTGTCTGCCCCTGCTGGCTGCGGCCCCAGCCCCGGGCCGGGAACCGAGCTGGTCCGCGGGCAGGCCTTCGACGTCGGGCCTCGGTACAGCAACCTCTCCTACATCGGGGAAGGCGCCTACGGGATGGTGTGGTAAGTTTTACCCCGAGCCTCTCTTCGCTCAGCCCGGCGTGTTAGGTTTTGTTCAGAGCTGACACCTTTCGCTTTCTTAGCCCGACATCACGTTTAGCTAACTCGCATCTTTTCCGTTACAAACTAAAGTCATGTTTGAGCTAGCAAGCAACAGTGTCCAGCCGATTAAATGACAACGGCGTCCGTTAGCGGGGGGGAAAAACGATTAAATCACGGCTGGAAGTCAATATGCTGAACCTGGAGGACTGTTTTGTGTAGCTACTTTTAGCTTCAATCAATAGTGAGGAACGATTCTATTTAAAATATCAGATTTTTTATGTTCAAATATGTTACACAGAGCCATTAAAATGACCAGTTTTTAACAGTACTAGTGTATGGGTCATGGGTGTGTACAATCCTCCACTTTAGAGCTACAGCTGTTTAATTAACTTTACATGATAGCATTAAATGAGTAGGTTTTATATTGATCTAACAGTGCTACATGTTAATTATCTCCACTCTATCATCACTTTAATTTTTCATGTCCTCTCATTCATGGTAGCTGCACACTATGCTGTTTGTAATTTTAGCATAATAGGTCAGAAAAATGCATCCTTGCCTGGTTAAATGCAGTTTGTATAAAGGAATTTATAGGAAACTTCAACCACTTCTAGTTTCTATCAGTGATGAGCAAGATTATGCTTAAAATATCTGATTTTGTTATTCCGATGTGTGACACAGAGTCATTAAAATGACCAAATCGGATCATTTTTCTGTCATGCTTTTATAACATGGGTGTGTACAATCTTCCACTTTATGTTTACAGCAATTTAATCAACTTTACAGTGTCTTTTTAACCCCCAAACTTTAGTTGCCCATTAGACGTGCAGGTTTTATACTGTTCTGACATTGCTAGATGTTAATTGAAATTTGAGTGTCTTCTCATTCCTGGCAGCTGTACACTAAGTTTAGGTTTTGTTAGTAATATTTGCATAATATGCCTGTAAATACATCCTTGTCTGGTTAAATGCAGTGTATATAAAGGGATTTATAGGTAAGAGCCACTCTGGAAGTAATGATATTCTATCAGTGTTGTAGTGCAGAAACACTCCATTTTTGTTAAATAAATAAATGTCATGTTTTAACTATCAAGCAACTGTGTCCACCTGATGTTGGTTTAATGATGACAGTATCTGCTAGTAGTGGAAAAAAAAGCTTAAATCGCAGTTAGAAGTCATTACACTTCACCTCAAGCTCCTTTTAGCTCTTATCAGTGCAGGATTGTTCTTATAATATCTGAGGTTTTTATTCAGATATGTGACACAGAGCCATTAAAGTGACCCAATGTGATCATTTTTCAGTAATACCTTTATGACATGGGTGTGTACAGTCCTCCACTTTACATTTACAGCAATTTAATCAGCTTTATAGTGCCTTTTCGTGCCCTTAACTCTATGTCACCACTGAATGTGTAGATTTTATAGTAGCGTGACACTGCTGCATGTTATTGTTTTTCCATTCTCCATAAAATTTTAATGTGTTCCCACTCATTGTAGCTGTACTCTATGCTTGGGGTTTGTTAGTAATATTTGCATAATATGTCTGAAAATGTATTGTGGGAGTATCTCTAGGGGTTTTGTGGTTGGTTAAAGGCAGTATGTGAAGGAATTTATAGGAACAGGCCACTGTGGAAACAGCAATATCCTATCAGAGGTGTAGTAAAGCATCATAGCGCAATTTATGTCACAAAGAGCAGCTAAATGCATGTCATGTTTTCACTAGCAAGCAACAGTGTCCAACCAGAGATGAAGAACGTGTCTGTGTCAGGGATTGAAGCTTAAATCAGAGCTAGTAGTCATCACCTGAAAGAAGTTTCTTTTAGCTTTTCTCAATGGTGAGCAGGATTGTGAATAAAATATTAGATTTTTTGATTCAAATATGTTGCACAGAGCTATAAAAATTCTATATTTTTTCAGGAAATACCTTTATGACAGGGTGACATGGTTGTGTGCAGTCCTTCACTTGAAATTTCCAGTTGTTTATTCGTCTTTATAGTGTCTTTTTTTATCTCCCAAACTGCAGTTTACAGTTAATTGTGCAGGTTTTATACTGATCTAACAGTGCTACATGTTATTTTCCCTTCATTTTATCATCACCATAAAATTTCCATTGTCTTCTCATTCCTGGTAGCTGAACACTATGTTTAGGTTTATATTTGCATAATATGTCTGAAAATGTATTGTGGGAGTATCTCAAGGGGCTTTCCTTGGCTGGTTATGTGCACTGTATATAAAGGCATTTATAGGAAAGAGCCACTCTAGAAGCAGTGATATTAAATCAGTGTTGTAGTAGAGCATAAACTCATCGTAACTCAATTTGTGTGCCGTTTTTTTGTAGTATATCCATTTTTTAAAATCCCCTTTCACTACATGACTGTTATCTTTGCAGCACACACTCTTGTAATAAACCTTGAATATGATAATGTTAATTTAATTATAGCTGCTTTTCAGATTGCGTTCAGTTAATTATGGCTCTCTGCTTGCAAAAACAATCTGTTTTTTGTTTCTTGAACCACTGGTAGTGTAGTTGACCTTAAATGTGCACACTGTACAGTATTACATAATACAGTATATTGTCCTTGTGTCAAACAGCAGCAGTGTAGTTCTTTTGTCTTGTGCGGCGAGAGGAGCTGGGTATTTTGAGAACATGATTTGACACAGTCTGCCTGCAGCGTTGAGACACAGCAGGCGGTTTAGTATGTTTTTGTGTGAAAACTGGAAAACCCACCAAAACCACACAGTTGTTGCTTTTATGATCCCCCCAGCAAAAAAAGTGACTCGTACATACTGCAGCTCAGGGAAAGCAGAGCAGACGAAGCACAGTTCACTGTTAAACGATGTTCAGTTGTACAGAGTTGTATGTCAGGTTACAGTAAAACTTTAGGGGTTTAAATCTGTGAAGTGATGGCTAGCTAGTAGCTGGGCAGCTGTGACATTTAATTAGCCATTTAAAAACATTTAGTAATCAATAGAAAATAAATCCAGTCTTTAGCGTCACAGATGTAAGGCTTGTCTTTATATTTCTCTTTTATATCACTAGGAGTTACAGCTTTTTTTTTTTCTTTCTCATTGTTAGCCAGTGAAAATGGGCAACATGAATATGGCCCTTTAAATTCTGGTTCCCTGCAATGAGAATTTGGCAATATTATTTTTAGTATACCCTGTTAAACTAACAAAATATCTTACTGCGTGCTGAAAAAAATAGAGGCTCTAGTATATGAATGCATTTTGATCGCCTGTATCTTTTGCAATTGGAAATGAGGCTGGGTGAAACGAGCAGTTTCCTGTTTCACTAGCAGTTTTTACATTGATGCCCATTCACGTGCACTGCTGCACCAGAGTGGCAACAATTAAGGGGTTAGTTATCAACTAAATTGTTTGTCAGCTACTAACTAAGGTATGAAACTGATTAGTTGCTCGGTTCTTTGCTCCTCCGTGACAGTAAATTAAATATATTTGAGTTGTGGACAAAACAAGACAGTTGTGTAAAGACAGTTGTGGAAGTCATCTTAGGCTTCTGGAAACACCGATCAATATTCGTCACCATTTTCTGACATTTTAACGACTGAACGACTGATTAATTAAGCCAAAAAATAATCAACATGTTGGTCAGTGATGAAAATTGTCATTAGCTGCAGCTCTGCTACCCACTGTAAACAGACAAGCAGAGAAACTAGAGCTAAAAAAACTTTTATTTGTTCCATCATCATCAGTTGTGGGTTTTTTTTTTTACCTCTTTTCTTTGTAAATTATCTACTTAAGAGTTTACTCCGTTTGTTTATCCCTTCGCAAAAACTGCGTCTGAGATGTTGTGGAAACTTTTCATCACTTTCTGACGTCTTATAGACCAAACCATTATTCAAGAGAATAAATGGCATAATAATCGATAATAGAAATAGTTATTATTTACAAGATTGTGGGAAATATGTAATGGAAACTTCAATAATTGCTGAATATAAAAAGTCAATTTGAGCTGAATCCTGTTTGTTTTTTCTTCTGAATGCTGGTGCTTAGTTTGATTTTACAGGATGTTTGATACCAATTACTCTGCTCCGAACCCCTCCTTGGAAAATGGTACAGACTGGCCACCCATGAAGCCCGATCGTAGCGGACACCTCAGGAACGAACACAGCTGTTTAAGTTTGAACTAAACATGCAGACATGAGCAAAATCAGGCTGAGACGTCCTCTAACACCACCTGAAAACAACACACCGAGCATCTTGTTCTCTTAGCCAGCAGTTAAAGTGGATGTGTTGAAGTGGTTACTCATGGGAATTTTTGCTTCTAGATCTGGTTCTCTTTACTGTGGCCTTCCTGCACTTCACCTTTTAGAGATCACCTGCCAGTCAAACTGTGTGGGCAGCACTGCGACGCCTTTTTTCTTGTTAAGTTTCAGTCTCTGTCAGCTTTAGGTTATCTCTTCACTCAGCCAAGTCATCGGCGCTCCTGCCAGCCGTCTTCTCCTTGCAGTTATTGCAGATGCTGTTTCCAGTAATGGAAATGTTTTGTTTTTTTGTTTTTTTGTTTTTACCCTGCAGATAAAGCCTATCTGTAACTTTTTGCTTCAAGATCAGATGCTCTTTTCATTTCACCATTGGCAGAAATGATGGGTAGTTGGAGCAGTAATCGTTGATGAGATCAGTTAGATTGGAACACTACTCATTTTTAAGGGCACTTTAACACAAAGCATGTTGTGACCAGTTTTCTTTCAGCTCTTGAATGTTTTCATCCATTTGTGGGATGCATCAGGGCTGGTGTGAGTGATGTCAGGTCACAACAAAAACATGAGATGATGTGCTTTCAAATGGAAGTCCTAAATATCTTACAACAGTGATACAGTCTATTAAGAGTTAGAATCACAACTTTTATTTAAATATATTTCAAGCCATAAAATACAGACAGTAGGACTACACACAATGATTATTTTTATCGTCAATTAATCTGTTGATTATTCTGTCAAT